ACAAAATCAACCCAAAATTATCTACTATTAAAATTAAAAAAAAAAATAAAAAAAAAACAACGCGTATTGCCATTTTGACCAAAATGCTAGAAAACATGCATTGCATGCAGTAATTATAATTAAATATTGGTTATAAAGAGTAGGTAGGTAGGTAGGTAGGTACGTAACCTGCATTGATTTTCTTTTGCTGCTGCTTTTGTTGTGCTGGCCTGTGATAGTAGTGCACAAGTTTGAAATTAAATAGTTTATTAAGGCGGTACCACCACCACCACCACCACCCATTAATTTCTGTTGATTAATTATTTTGGAGGACGGACAACTCCTACTCCGGCGGGTGTACCTGTACGTGTAGTGTATATATATACAACTAATTCGACGAGGCTTGTTAATTAGCCTTCCAAAATTAATGGATTCTTGGGTTGGCCGACACAAAGTACTTAATTTGCTATAAAAAAAAGAATCATTTTTTTTTTATTTTTTAAATAAAGATTACCAAAAGAATCATTGTCACATGCATGTGTATAATAGATTAGATACCTCCATTCCATTCCAGTGCGTAAAAAACTTTTAGAATTAGTAATTCATGTCATCAAGTTAGAAAAATAAGGAATATATATATTTATAGTTCAGTTCATTCATTCTCTAGTGTACTTACTACTAGTGCATGTTATCTATCTATCTATCTATCTATGAGCCAGCCCTTATTTGTATGATATCATACATTTGAGTTCACTCTTATTCTTCAAATTTGTTAAGTACACATTATGAATCCAACAATAATTAGATTATTACTTATAATATCCAATTGAGTGCATTAAAAAAATATAATGTAATTTATAAAATACCATAGAACAAAATCATTTTCCCTAAATAATAAACAAAATTAATTCAATCAAAACATAAAAAAGTACGAATCAGTTGCAATTATTAAGAAACAGTACAAACCACAATTATTTATTTCAATAAGAGAGAGGAAAAGCGAGAAGCAAAGCAAACTCATTTCCTCAACTGCATACAGTACTCCCTTTTTCTTACTGTTTGTGTTTTTAACTTTTAACGTGGGTGTGAGTTGGAGTTAGACTTCAGTGCCACAAGAAAAAAAACAACTATCACCCATCTAAACCCAGTTGTCTTTAACAATTTTAATTTAAAAAAAATAAAATTATGCAGTCAAGTTAACAAACGTACACAAGTCATCATTAATACACAAATGTACCCAACCTCTTGCATCGTCTTGAGTTCAAATTGGTTGACTGGCCCTCCATATGGTACACTCCAAAACAAGCATCCCAGACGAGCTTCTAAAATCTTTAGGAACCAAAACGTACTTTTTCTCCAGAGGCCTCTTAATCCACCTCCCTGTGTTCTCTGCTACACTTGTCAGCTTGATCGTGCTCTCACCATCACTCGCACAAATATCATACACGAATTTTGTATCCGATGAAGCCTGTGCAATGCAATCCACACTCACCAAACTCCCAAGATCCCTAACGCAATGATTAAGCACGAAAAGTGTGTAGTGAGTCTTTTCTTGAAGAAAAACATGCTTGCTTCGGTCGGCCACCAAAGAAATCTTGCATGCCGTGTTGAAGACGAACTGCCTGCGCGATCCCCCATGCCTTAGGGAAAAGTGATTGTAGATGGATCTGGTCAAGCCGGAAAACATACAGTCAGGATAGGGGCACGAGCAGGGTGCATAATTGCACGTCTTCTCGTGTTGGAGTTTCTTGCTGTACTGTAATTTTTCCCTGCAACCGTATTCCATATTAGAGCAAGAGAGTCTGACCGAGTCGAGAACCCTCTCGATAGCCCTGCAGCGATTGTACCCAATCGGCAAGCTGCAGCTTGCACACTTGTTCTTCATCTTAGTGCAGCAAGATGCGCACGCTATGTGCCCGCTCTCACACTACCTCACAATTTCAGAGGAGGAAAATTGTATCAACTCAAATTTTTCTGATTCGTAGTGTTTAATGTAAGATTGCCGGATAAGAAACAGGCTTCTGCCTAGTATTCAAGCTATGCAACTAATTTAACAGATGAGCAACTTTTTTTTTTCAATAGCAAAACAAAACAAAGGCACTAACTTAAAACGATCATGAAACGACAATAAAAAAATAAGATAAATATATGTTAGCAAGTTCAGCAACAAGTTTACCGTTCGTATGAAACAAAAAGATCCAGATCTGAAGATTAAGCAGACAACAATAGAATCAGCTAATTACATAAGTCCAATCCTGCATTTATTTGTTATCCTACATACAAATAAATCCCAGGACAGTTAAAAATTCTTTTTCTTTCATATCAAATCGCAACGCAACTCTTTCTATGTAAGCATGATTCTAATTTCTAACTACCCAGCCCACCCCTCAAAGAAAATAAAAAACCTGGTATATTGCCCTTATGTTTGGAGACTTAAGTAACCAACAAATGATCCTAGATAGAGATTTAGTTTTGAGGAGTTCCACATTTATTTCATGAATACACCGAATACTATAGCGATTTAAATAAACATCTATAAGTTATCCCACAGATAATAGACTAATAAACATGATTATAGCTCTAGATATTAAGCTAAGATCATCCATAGACGTGGATCTCAATTCTCAAAATTTTAGACCCGTAAGATAAAGAAAGCAGACATTGCGGTGTCTTAAATCTTATCATGCTCCAAACGCGGGGTCATACAAATTATAACACTCCTGCAATTAGTTTTAAGTAAAAAACAATCAAATGTTAATTTTCCAGTGATTTTTTTGACATAATAAATATACCATTTGGCATAATTTCTTTTACGAATATTTTGATTTAAAATTGCTATACAACAACAACAACAACAACAACATACCAACTATATTCTCAACTGGTTGGGGTCTGGGGGGTCAATTGTACGTAAACCTTACCCTTGTAATATATATTTTTTTTCTTTATTTTTAATTATTATTTAAACATCTTATTGTTTATATAAGTTCATTTGTCCATTGCAAATGGAGCTGGAAGAGTCATTGTTGACAATTCTCCTGGCATAGTGCTAATAATGGACTAGATCAAAATGACTCAATTAAATTCTAGTGCTTCTTCTATTAGTGAAGGTTCTAGAAAAAAAATATATCAAACGACGCAATGCACCTTGGGTCGCTACGGAAACAGCCTCCTTGTAAAGGTCTGCGTACAACTGACCCCCTAGACCCCAACCAGTTGGGAATATACTGGGTGGGTATGTTGTTGTTGTTGTTGTATTGTTTATATAAGTTCATTTTTCTTTACTAAATGTATCAACTATTTGTTTTTATATTTGATTAAAAATTGAATTATGTTTATGGTTAAACATACATTTGGGCATAATGTAAGATGTGTTTGTTTTAAACACACACATTATTATTGTTAATGGGTAAATAAGAAAAGTATTAAATAAACAAATAAATGGGCCAAGATAAAGCAAAAGATGTTTTGATGGGTAAATATAAACTTTTGAGAGTCAAAACTTTGGGACCATATACAAATGGAGTACGGTTTTGGGACCTTTTTGGGAGAAGTTTCAAATTAAATATAAGACTAAGACCTACAATTAGAGAAATTATTGGGTCTCAAATCTCATATTTGGAATTTGAGACCCATGTCTTGAAATGGTCTAAGAAGCTAAGAAGAGAAAAAATATTCCACGTCCTGCTACGGAGATAATGCAATTGAAGCTTTCATTCGCATTACAAAGAGTTGCTTCCCAAAAGCCTCAAAAGAGCTAGCCTAGGGCCAAAATACTACCTAAAAGATACTGGCATGTATATAAATAGCATGTGCAACAAAAAAAAAAACACTAAGATAAGTGTCTAATGATTGAACAACCTTGTGGATGTCTACACACATAGCAGTTTGTGAGATATGATTCTCTTCAAGGATCAAGAAATACAATTCAAATTAAATCTGCGGGTTATAAACGAACACAACTTTGGTACAAATCTCTCTGCCAAAGCGTTACCAAAGAATCAAAGATTTCAATCAACAGCAGAACAGGTAGTTATATCGATAACAGTAATAACAGAAGCAATCCGGCAGTTGCCATCAAACCTCAGAACAAAAAATTGCAAGAGGAACAAGCCAAACTGGTTGTTTATGGACAACAGAAAGAGTTAAAAGGAAGAAACATTAAATACAAAGATATAACTAGAAAATATAATGGCTCAATCAAACTTAACATGGGTACAAGAAAATGATTTTTTTGATAACTTGAATGAATATGGGAATTATCTTTTATACAAGGACACCCCAGATCACATAAATCTTGAAAGCAACCCATGAGTTTCTAACCAACGGATCTCTATGCCTAACTGAATGAATTTATTAACATTGGTGGATAAGAAAGATACAGTATAAGAAATTGTATGTTCCAAGTTGGACCATATGTAGTATCCATTAGAGTTTTGCTTCTCTGGAACCCTTTACAAAGACCTATTCCACGGCAAAGGTGTTGTGCTTGCTGATAAACTAAATTCAGCTGATGGCACGTGACTAAGCGACGAAAGTGCTAGACGACTTGGATAGCATACTTGAAAATGTATATGATTTAATTCTAAGCAGAACATTTCATCAAAGATACCTAAGGGAGATCCTATATTTGATAAACAATCTCAGATAACATAACACAGATAAACCCAAAACGTATCGGCAAAAGCTAATATAAGTGAACCTCAGTCAGGACAACTAACTACACAGCATTCTGATGAAACTTATCCGCAGACAGAAATGAGCTCTTCCTTGTACAGCATTTATGCTTCTTCCTACCAGAAATCAACATCATCCTTGCCAACAACTTTTTTCAACAACTAAGCAACTAGAACAGAAATTGAATAACAATAGATGTTGTGTGACACCCAACACAGTGCATTCGAATGTCCACAACTATGAAATTTATTTTATTTCCCATGAGAAAGCACACAAGCACATCATTTATACACTTCGTCGACACCAGAGAAATAATTAATGATGAACTGGAAAGCAGATGGTTCATTTCAACAGCAGAGGTACCTGATAGATGGGCAGACTGAGAGGTTCGAGGCAAATTGGGCAATCGAGCACATCCGGGTCGATTAGGGTCACTGAAAGTGGAACCTGGGCATCCACGCAGTCGGTACCATTTCTATTACGAGCCGAATCCACATTTGATTCAGTGGGTTGTACCGTATATTCTTCATAATCTTCTTCTTCTTCTTCTTCGCGTTCTTCTGATTCTTCTTCTTCGTCTTCTTCTTCTTGTTCTTCTGATTCTTGTTCTGAATCATGTGAGCAGGCGATTTGAGGATCGGCAGATGTCGATAAGGTTATTCCGGCGGAGGGCCTCTCCCGTGTTTCTACGACGCGAAAGGAGAAGCGGGGTCTTTTGTTGGGCAAGGGTTTGTTGTTGCTGGGCCCCTCTCCATTTCCATCGTCATCTCCCTCCACACTGAACCTCGCCATAATTTTCGTCTACGATGGATGGGTGGATGTGTTATTCGCAATTCATTCCCGAGTATTTAGAGGGGTGGTAACCTTTATAACACTTTATCAAAAGCAAAAATGAAATATAGCCATCTTTTTAAAAAAAATGAAATCTAGTCATTTTGGTGAGTAAAAATATCTAACTGCGCCTAGATTTATTTTGTTGCATTTTTCCTCTCCCTCACTTTAATTTTTCATTTCCCCCTTCTCACTATTCAAGCCCCGTTCTACCGAACACCTTCCCTCCCTTTTCAAGCAATTTTCGAGTGCTCTTCTCCTCGAGCCGGCGATTCACGTCCTCTTTCACCGATTGCTCCTCCTCCGGCGATTCACGCCAAAATTCCGACGTATCACCAACGAATTGACCTCCGCAACCGGCTTTCTTAAACCTGTTCAAGAAGCCGGCGAATCGACCTATCATCGGCTCGACCTCTGCAAGACCTCGCCGGCTCCGCACGTCCATTTCCGTGGCCACCTCGTCGGCTCCGCACAACCTTGCCGTTCGCCGCAGCTTCTCGGTGGCAAAAAATCGACAGTGCCTCTGTTGCCTCTGAAATCAGGTAATTAGGGTTCTTGACCCTTAAATTTGTTGTTTGAATTAAGGTTTTTTTTTTGTTTGAATAAGTGTTCTTAACCATTAAAATTTTTGTTCGAATTAGGGTTTAATTTTTATTTTTTATTTGAATCTGAGTCCTTAACTTCAAATTTTTAGGGTTTTTTAGGATTTTTAGATAAAGGGTTTTTTAGGGATTTTAGGGAATTTGTTTTTGGATTAGGGAGTAGAATGTGACTGGAAATAAGTTAAAGCCTTAATTTGTGAATTTAGGGTATATTTGGTTGTATATGTAGAATAACCTTTTGGTGTGTATTTGGGAATTTAGGTGTTCGATGGGCCGTTGAGCCGCTCACTTGTTGTGTATTTGGTTTCAATCTGTAGAATTGGCAAATGAAAAGTGTTTGGTCTCTTTAACAACAAAAAAATGTGGAAAGAGATTTTGATTGGGTTGTGATTTT